TTAGACAAACATGTGTACGGCGTATATTGCACTACCAAAATCCCATATATCTAAGCTTTCATCTATAATGAGTTGTTTTAGTAGCATGTCTGAACCATATATCATGTTTTCAAACCGTTTACACCTTAATAAATATTAGTAGGTGTTAATCTTCGGTATTTATTTAATATAAGTAGAAATTATGCATTCTCAAACCATATCAGACTAGTAATACATTCGTAATCACTATAGATTCCTATCGCTACTGGTATGGCATTTGCAATGAAATATCGGAACAAGGGTAACATTAGTGTTGGTATCTATGGTGATGGCTCAGCGAATCAAAGCCAGATTTTCGAGGCATTCAACATAGCCTCGCTGTGGAACCTACCAGTGATGTATATATGCGAGAACAACAACTATGCTATTAGTACGCCTGTCAAACGTGCGTCAGCTTCAACGACGTTCTACACCCGGGGAGATTTTGTTCCTGGAATTCGCGTAAGCATATGTCAAACCACCATAGCGTGTTTTAGAAATGTTATGGGACACCTTATTCTGCTCTTTATCAAACTCAGCATGTGATGTAATGTTCTTTCGATATAATACTGTCACCGATTCGATCCAATACACATATCTAATTTCAATGAATATTACAATTGATAAATGCAAATGTTATTTGTTACATCATTTAACTGTTATTTAGTAGACGTACAGTGCAATAATAATATGACAGATTAACTAATACGTGCATTATAGGCTGATGGTATGGATGTGTTAGCCGTAAGAGAAGCAACTAAGTATTGTGCAGATTATATCAGGGATAACCAGGTAAGTAACCTACCCGGAGTCCAACCAATGTATAGTATATGTGCCATAGATCTACAGCAAGTGACAACTCTCGCATATGTTAGGTTAGTAATTTCTATTCATCAATTGAACGTAGATTTACTCACTGTAATAACAAACGATGGGTCGTCTTTGACTTTATATTTTGGGTTTGCTCGCAGCATTGTTAAATAAAGTCCAATACACATATCCGAATACTACAGCCAATATTTATCAGTCATAATAATGTTTGTTCTATATGTTGCATGGTGTAAGTATGATACTAGAATACATGAATATTATCCTAACATACAACGACTATTTTCAGGGGCCAATTATACTTGTGCTTATGACATATCGTTATGTTGGTCACTCTGTTAACTTTCCGAGCACAGCATTGTACAGGACAAAGGAAGAAGAGGATAGAGTAAAAGCAACAAGTGATGCTATACATAATCTAAGAGACAAATTATTGACATCTAAACTGGCAACCCTGCAGGAGTTATCGGTAACAGTGCACGTCTTAATATATATATATATATTACAAGAGCAATAATAATTAAACCCGTCGTGACAGAAAAATAAATGCTTTCAATTCCTGAATACTTTAATACACAGCAATTTACAATACGATAAATCAAAATTCGAATACTTTTACAGTACAAATCGACTAATTCGAATATAATTCAACCTGATAAAAATATTTAACAATTGAATAATACCAAAATCACCAATATAGTAGCAATACAATTGCAGTACAAAATTCTAATTATTAAGTTGTAATCCTTGTTTTCTGATAGCAATGATAATATTATTGTTGATTAATTTATTTGCAGAAAATTGATGCCGATGTCAAAGAAGAATTATTCGAAGCAACAGAGTTAGCCAAAAAAGACCCATTACCTGACATCAGTGAAACATACACTGATGTCTACTGTGATTCTTCTGGAAGTCCTATTAAAGGGTGCGATCCCTGGACTGCCTACATATATCCTGACTAATGTGTGTATAATGTACATTTTATAGTCGTCATTTTAAGTGGCGGCAAAGCGTCACACACGTTGTTACTTTTCCAGTTTTTTTTTTGATCAATTGTAGCATCACACAGTGTTGGATAAATATTTCATGATCGACTCCTCTGAGTAAATTTGTGTGTTTCCCTTATGTTCCACTTGCTCTGAAGTTGCATTGTGACTTTTCGTTCACTTTGCAATAAATTCTTTGAAACTAGACAATGATTGGTTCATTGTCTGTTGTATGTGTAACAGTGAGTCGTAAATTCCTCGGTTACAAACCTCGGGCAACCACGTAGAACAATTACTGTCTCAGTTTGTAGATGATGTCTCATTAAATGAGAATAATCGGGTATGAAGCTGGACACTTTCTGTTTTAACAATAAAAATCACAAAGATTTTATTCCATGTAAATTCGTAGAGAAGTCAACGTGGTCATTCCCTACGCTACACCATGTTAAGGTTATTATACGCCAGATTAGGTCGTTTATCGTATCATGGTATTGAGAAACATTCTTTACCAATTTACCTTACTGTCCAGTTGAAGATCTTGCTGAAGTCAAATATATTTTAAAAATTAACATAACTGCCATATTATGAGTTGGCAATACTATATTTCGTATCTCATAAAGGGGAGTCAAGGGCAACAGTGGACACACACAATTATTTGTACACAACACAATAATTGGCACCTTACTTGGGTATAAACTAAAGGCTGAATCTACTGACATGGTCTGCGATCCAGTGTAGTGAAACCATCAACGAGGGTTTTGTTAGCATGTATAATTTATTACATTGTTCAACCCAGTGATTATATGTCGAAGTAAACAACAACATTTTGCATTTCATAAAAATGAATCAAGGTCTTCATAGTGGCTATACGTGATAGCTGAACTTAACATCTTAATACAAGTCTGTCTTACTATGGCCTAATGAGAATGCATCTGCTCTTTGAGAATTTGATAGTCCAGCCTACAAGTAACCACCCGAGTAAACAACAGTACATCAGGTCGACCCACCTCAGGAGTGAAGTGCAAATACATGCAGTTGTACATTTACACAAATATACATGTCCACAGATATGACCAGGGGTTTATCAAAGGCAGTCCCAGTAAGCGTCTTGGGAGTTACTTCACAAACCATCTCTGCTTTCCAGGTAGATGAATAACAAACCAGTCTCCTCCTTACTATGTCGTGTTTCATCTCCCTACTTGTCGAACCATGTGAGAAGAATAATACCAACCCGAAATCGCACAATACGTTGGAACTACAATCTGGACAGATGATTGCTCAACCAAATCTTCATGCTTTAAAGCCTCACTACACAACAACATGATGACATCCATATATCTGTAGAAGGTAGGCATGTCGCAACCATATCGTGATTACTATTACCAATACTTTTAATATTAACTATCCATAACAGTATTCCTATCCAATCAGATACTGCTAAATTATTACCCACGCAGGTAGATCTGTACAGGGGTTTGGCGTGTGTTAAATTTTATTTCTCTTACAGTTCTTAACATCATGTTTACTCGCATTATATTTTTTGGCAGTTTGCAGATTGGTGAATGAGAAGTGACTAGACATATATTTGCAGACTACACTGCCTAATACTATCTTCTGTGAAGAGCTGGGAAATTGCCCCAGTATTCTTCCATATTGCGACCTCAGCAGTTTACCTTCAACATTTTGATAGTTGGACATGAGCATTGCCAGGATTTAACCTAAGATCCACAATGTTGTTCATGTCATTAAAATCATAATATTGTTTTTCGACTATTTATCGCATATCTTCTCTCTGCAGTTATGGTGTCTGTTTTAGTTGCTCGAGTCGGACGTGCATCCCCAGGTGTTTCATCAGAGACCTGACATGTGTCTAATGCTTGTTGTCTTCATTCAGGTGGTGTACTGCTGTACACATAGTTATATACCGTGCTGATCTTGGGGTTGTCAATTGTAACCCTTTCTACTCAGCACGACTAATTGTAGGTAAAGTCGCTAAGCCTGCCGGGATATCATCATCTATTTCTGAACAACAGCTCTGAATGTTTGAACTATTTCCACTCATGTGGGTAAGTTTTCTTTCAAGGATTGCTACTACAGCTTGACTGCTGATCACTATTAATTCTTGAGGCTTTGGAGGAACCTAATCCAAACAGTGGGGACGTCCCTCCTCAACTGTAGAGTATCCTGCCTGTGGTTGTCCCCCAAAAGCATCTCACTGCAATATTAGATCCAACAATTATAATCTGCCAACCTTGTCATCCACCAGTGACCAGCAACTTCCAGTTTGGCACTAGTGGTGAAGTACACCAACAGTTTAATTTGTTTTCTGTGAATACCTGGAAGTAGTGACTTGTCCATCACCACCCATTTTAGGGGTAAAAACTCCAATTTTGCACAGGATAAAGTTCAGCCCTCAAGTTATATTATCCTAGTGGTCATTGGCATCCAACTGCTGGTGGCAAATTGAAAAACGTAGTAACCAAGTACAAAATTGTTGGTTGCCAATAATTGTTGTTTTACAAATGCATAATAACTTACACAGAAACAAAAATTTAACATTTAACATCTTGATTTAACATCTTGATTAGTACTCCATGACAGTCTAGACTCAGGTCCTGCAACAGACTGAACAGACACTGACTCTCCAGGATTTTCATCATCAGATGCATCGCCCCTATAACATTATCGTCCAATACTAATGAACAGAATGAATTTCGCTTTCAATTCCATCATTCTGCTGCAAATTTTGTGGTTGATATCACAGACTTGTAAAATATGCAGCAATTGTTGGACATTGTTCAGAAAAGGAAATATTAAAATATGGCAGCTGATAAAATGTGCACAGACTAAGTTTTGAACGGTAGATAGAAAAGCGCCAGAAAGAGTTGACAAGCAGTACAGTCTGTTTTACATTACAGAATGTTTTGATGCCAGGCAGTCTGCGACTGGTGTAAGATATCACTCTCTTCACATTTCTATCTTGTATCTGAAACAACAGTGCCTGAGCCACAACAGAATACTATCCGTGTGAAACTCAAATAGTAGTAAATAATCTCGATACCCAGGTACTGGTGGATTCGTGAGCCGTTTAACTAAAGTTTCAAATGCCACCTGATGGGTTTCGCTATTTTAGAATGGACTTCCACAAAAGGATTTTAATATCCAATCACCCCTGCGAATACTTTGGTCTCTTTAGCATTGCATGCTACAGGCCAAGTCCTAATTATTTATGTCTTGGTGAAAGTGGTCTTAACCCTATATTGTGACACAACATGTCCCCCCAAAAAACTTTACTATGGGAAAACTCACACTTTGGGGTCTTGACTTTCAAATCGTGTTTCTTTAAATGCTTTAGAACCTCATCTAGCCTCTGACAGTGTTGCTTGATTGACATTCAATCATAATATCATCTAGATGAAGTGTAGTTTACAAAGTTCCCTAAACATTTCTCTAATGTTTGCTAGAAGATACTGTTGCAGTTGTAGTGTCTTACCAGAGTCAGAAACACAGTTTTTTCAACAACGTCATTTTTGTGCATCAACAGTAGCCAATATGAGGACTGTAGGTCAACAGTGGAGAACCAAACTTTTCCCTTTAAAAACTCCTTGCTCTTCAATCCTCAGGAGGGCGTATTCATCTTGGATGGTCTTTCGATTCAATCATGTTTTCTATTAAACAATGTCAATCATCACAGCTTGCTGGAGGCAAATGATGAAGCCTCTCTTGTATGGGTATGTCATTCGTAAGTCTAATAGGATGCTCTACCAGACTGCATTTACTCAGTCCCCATCACCTTTTGAAAACACATCACAGGACATTACATAATAATAGTTTTAATAGTTTATTTGCACAAAGTTTTCATTGCATGAACGGTACTCTAGGGCTGTAACTATAGCTATACTGTGCTGACAATATCAAACAAATATCATGTATGTTTAAAGGGTGGTAGTCGTCGTGCCACGCATGTGCAAGATATATGGGTCTCATATAAACAAAGATGGCGACTTTGACTGTTGAGCAGATCAACAAGTACACACTGAGACGTTACCAAGCTGTAATTAGGTATTTTTTAGGTGACTGGAAGGTATCAAAGGAGAATCACAAGCGGTAATTAGTGCACGTCGCACCCAGGTCAAACCTCATACTTGCGCATTGGATTGTGGGATTGTGGGAAATCAATATTTATCAACACAAATGTCGCACATAGCTATGTTCTACATTGTATGACAGTTTGCGCAAATAACAAAATCAAACCTAGTTAAAGTTCTTTACGGCAGCGGTGACTCCCTCACAGTAGTCTTGTGGTGTTGTCTCCCGCGTATACGATGGCTTCATAAACGTGACAAAACCAGTTCCCATTACAAATTTCCTGCAGTCCGTTTGACTTAGAACACTCTGATCCCACTAACAACTGTTGATCAGCAGAGTCTCTAACCCACTCTCATCGGCGATATACTAGTAGTCCCCATCTGTGCACGCCAAACAGTTCAGTCCGCCCTGTAACAAGTTGGCTCAGAGCGGTGTGGTCTCACTTCGGCCATTGTTGTTGTCCTTCCTCTGACGTCATCAACTCCACCAGCTTATCACATGATGCTCACGTGTCAAACTGCTTCACTCAAGATGTATCTAGTTGTTTCCCGCACAATACAGTTACTACTCGGTAAGTCGCGCCTCAGTAAGTCGCCACTTCGGCTCAATTTATTTTTGATTTTAGAAAAATACGAGCATATAATATTTGGAATACTTATTTCAACGTTCACGTTTATAAACGTATGCGTTTATTTCAAGGTGAAGTTTAAGGTGATTATTAGTGTAGTTCAGTTTGGTGGTCTAGAGTGTACGATGTTGAGTGATCAGTCGGCTCAGGAAGGGGCGTCCATCACATGTTGGGTAGTTGCTGCAGTTACATGGTCATTACATGGTCGCCCGCAACGTATACTACGACCAAGAGAGCTGCATAAACTGCAGCAAATAGGGTAGTAACTTTTTGAACACTTCAGGTTTAATAGATTGACGCTTTTTTCAATGCTGTAATTTAAAGGAAAACGATGTAACAAGAAAACGACAGTCTGGTTCTTTTCAACTACATACTTGGGATGATGAAATTGTTGCATACAATATAATGTCATATAATAATTCTTTTAATCGCTTGATATTCCGTTGAAAACAGTTCAACATACTAAGATCAAGTCTGAAATGAAATACATGTAATAGGTCGGAAAACTACTTTTGCGATTATTTTATTTTTATGAATAACTCAAAAAGAAAATGTACATTTTTTGTCTGAGTGCATACTTTGAGGCAACCTCGTAATAACCTTATCAATATACATCTTTTCCTATACATCATGCCCATATCAAACAAGTTTAGAACAGAATCAGCGAACTTCTTTGTGTGGAGTCCGGTCAAACCCTGGTGGCATCCATGTTTTTTTTTATTATTATTAGAGACGCTTACGTGCGTATTCATTCCATATTTAGAATTCACTTTCCTAATATGGTAGGATGAAAATGCCCTGTAAAATACTGCAAAATTACGGCACGCTGTAACTTATGGCGTTACGGTGACAGATGTATAATAATATATTATAACAAGGCGTGGAAGTTGTAAATTTGATTACGTAGTCATATGATTACATTTACGGAAATGCAATTATGCAATACCAATTACCTATGTTAAGTTGCATTGCTTTGGAGGGACACTGAATGGCATACTGTAGACGGTACCCGTTTCTTCCACGACAACTGGGTTGATGAAACCTATTATATCATCAGCAGTTTTAATGCTTTCCACTTCAGAGTTTTACTGCCGGGAATTCGTCACAATATAAGTCTGCTCTTTCAATTGACTCAACAAACGTATATTACAAGTATAGTTAGCCTCTGTATATACTAAGTAGTCAACTTCTTTGTCCTACTTTAAGGCATGTTTTTCTTGGAATGAAAATTGTATCACAATCGGTGATTGAGACCTAAACACTTCTCCCAATGTTGATACGAGGACAAAACCACGGTACCATGCATGGTAGTTTGTGAATAGTGGTTGATGAGAATTTGGATCTGGCAATAGTTATGCAATATGAAAGAAGACGTATATGTTTTGCTGTATAGTCTATACTTTACTCTAGACTAACCCAGCGCTTAAAAAAATGCATACTGTCCATATACCATACTCTCGGCATTCAGAGCTTGTAATATGGCGTTCAATCGGAGGAGCGCAAAACTGTCTGTCATAAATAATTGTATATATTCATGAGTATCATAGGTATCTTAGCTTTCGGAATACAGTGATTGGGTTCATGTAATGATTCCGGCTGATCTGCACTGGCTCGGAAGATGAATTCTGATTGGCTAAAAAAACAAAAAAAAACTTGTGGCGTTGAATGCACGTTCATTGTCAGTATTGTTATGCCAATTCAAACTAGCTAATCATTTACAACCTTCCGAGCCAGTGCAGATTAGCCCAATGATTCCCCAGCCTCTCCGAACAAAACAAAAAAATACTTAACTCACTTGGCCGAAACTTCAAGTTGAAAGTAACCAGTCCCGGCACGTCCGAGATACACGTGTGGGCAGCGCACTCACGTTTTCGGACTTCTGGGAGACTGAACTGTCGGACGAATTCTACTTTCAGATTGTAGGTACCTAATTCGATAACCGATAGTTGTGCGTACTGAAATGTACCAAACGATGGAAAGCATTCATTATCATTGTGCCGTGCAAAAAAGACAGATAAAAATAGTGAAATGAGTTGTGATATGCACATACATTATGCGCTACGAAGTTACTTGGGACGAGATGATTATGTGGTATGAAAATGGCTTGGTCGTAGTGAGTTGGTACGAAGTTACCACGTGGTACAAAGTGACTATGGACGAAATGCACGTTTACGACGAAATCACCGTGTGGTACGAAGTGGCGGCTTGGACGTGTTGCATACACTTCCACGGCGTGCTGACATTTTTATCTAGCGAGTGGTGAAATAACGTTTGAGATGAACTCAACTCATTCCAATAAATTGATACCTGATGATGATGATTCACGCTGCTGAAAGTAAACACATTACTGTGTATTTCGCAGGTTTGTTTTCACATACACGCAGGTTATTGAGTAATGTGTCACTTAATATAATATACAAAATATTGGATACTTAAAATATAAGTGTTATTATTTTGTGGGGGAGCGAGTGTGTGAGATGTATGCTAGGTGTAGTTGTGCATAGTGGGTGTCTGTTCAATGTGATAAAATAAAAAAATGGTCATTCGGGCAATAACACGATTTGTTTGTTGTCTGCCCTCGGGCTGGTGGTCATGACCACAATATTGGCAGGCCCTGAGCAGGCATCAAATCGTGTGTTATTATTTAAATATTCACCTCTACCTGCGTATTTCTTACCTCAGACGTCAGTTTGTGTGTTACTGGCCTCTGATGTCATGACATCCGGGGCACTTACATTGACGGGGGGGGGCGATGAAATATATGTATATCTGTATAACACATAACACTTCCGAATGCGTTTCTCCACTGGAGGGTAATTTTTAACTCGGAAAGTTCGCTTTTTTATCTAAGTGCCTTGTTGTTCTCCTTCGAATACAAAAATTGTCCATGGTCACGGTAACAACTCGAGGGTGATAATTTTTATATCAACTTCAGGCGAGGCCAATAAATGCACATTGTATATTCAAATTAAAGCGAAGAGTTGTGAATCGCGGCAATGTACCGCCGTTTATTTACGAAATTATAATCATCTGCACCCATGACAAACTTGCTACGATTGTATTGGTTGTCTGAGAATCAACTAAGCTCAACTCGAAGTAAAGTGGTCCAAAACCCTACTGACAGACTCTATATAAGCATTGTATTTGTGTATAATAACCTAAAGTAATGGTTTGGACAAAGCGGTTGTTTAAAACTCAAATTTCAAATAGTTCAGTGGCCATCCCCGCTTTGCCGTCAAATTGCAAGTGCCAACAAATATAGCGCCCCCAGTGATGACGTCCTGTCAACTCAGATCAGAGCATGCGCAAACAATACATACGCCATTTTGTTCGTGTATGCTGTGTTTACAAATTCTGTGCCTTGACGAAATATCTAATTGTCTTTGCATCTAGACTGATTTTACCTCTACAAACATGCCGGAGAGTAAGTATACGTTTATTTAGTTATGTACCGAGTGCAATTTACGGGTGAAATAATGCTATATAAAAGATAATTACTGTTTAGTGTCACGGAAAGTAGAAATTGCCGAGCCCTCTCTGTCGTTTCGCATTTTCAAGTGCAGAGTTGTGTAATTTTCAACGATAGAGTCGTTAGTGTGGACCTTCGCGGACTACCACTATGTGACAGACACACCAACCTTACTGCCACTGGAAAATCGTTTTTTTTTCGATGTGACAAGGATATTCGGTGGTCTTTCTACAATCAAAATTTGTTCTCGTCACATTCACAGTGGAGGGTTCAATGTGGAGTTAGCCCCTGCG